TATTTTCTAATGCCCAAATTGGATTCCTATTCTAAACTGACTAGCCAAAAACAGACTAACCTAACCACAGCTAAAAAGAAGGCAGAGTATCTCACCTAACATTAAAATATCATAAACGCATATCTAACGCAGAGCACTCAAAAAACCATATCTCTAAAAATTACAACCCTCTCACAAACGTCGGTGGCAATCCATCCGATCCCTGCTGAGTGCCGTAGATAAACCGGGGGTGGATGCGGCGAACGATGTTTTCAATTTCCTAACCACCCCCAGACCGGAACGACCCGGACCGGGGGTAATTTTATTAAAAACGCGATATTCGCCGCTCATCCGGCCCTGAATATTTATCTCTTCATGCTGATATGTGGACAGCAAAGGGTTAGAATTTTATAGGTACAGAGTGTTTGATAAAATGTTGAGATTTTATTTTATACTATTAGAGAGCTGGATGAAATAGAAGTGATTTCTAGTAAGGTGTTCCAATCCCATGATGATCCCATCCCAGGTTCTCCATATAGATAAACAGAGACACTCTCTAAAATGCGCATTTCTATTAGATACTGCTAAAATTCACTGACATGAAACTAAAAACAAAACGAATGGGTAACTTATGTATTTTTATAATATACCATAACAGGGATCGATGACAACCGTAGAAAGGAAAGACCTTTGTTCTATAATAATCATTTTTAATAATAAAAAAGCTGACGGTAAGTACTATGACGATACTATATACAAAATCAGCCTAGAAACAATCGTACATTTAATATTATACAACACAATAATCAATCCATTTGATAACGCAAATCCTAAAGACGTCAAACACACTCAATAATAAACTGAACAAGCTTTATTAATCGCATATAATTACTATCAGTACTAAATACACGTAAATCATAATCAGATAGATAATCCTCTTTCCTCCATGGTATTGGTACACTTCCAACTCGTCTAAATAACTGGCATTTATTGATTTCATTCTAATCTATGAGGTTCAAACTGTCAGTTAGTAAAATGGTGGTCTATTTATTAAATGTCTCGTGTAATAAAATCGAGTGTGGAGTAATTATATCGAGAGGAGACTCAAAAAGGTAAAGAGCTGATTGATCTAATTCTGCTGGTAAAGTGAAATTGCGTCTTAAGTACTTTTATTGTCGGGACGTCTCAAGTCATGAGCGAGAAGATTGGAATGAATAGGTCTCAAGGTGTGACTACTGACCAGCTATTTAAACTGTCAAACACAAAGCGGTCACCGGTGACTGCAACCTATTGTTCTATAATGTCGCGGAGAACCTAACGGGTAACCGGGGCTCCGGCTCGACGTGCAGGAGAAGGAACGGGGTGGTTTTTAGTCAGTAAGAGTCTGACACTATAAACTTATATAAACTTCCCACAATCACTTCCCAATAATATTCGCTTTTTGCAACAACCTAAAAATACAATTACTTATTTCCTATGTCTGCACAGAATGTCAAGGAAAGTTAAATAAAATTGCAATCCTTTCTAAACTGTTATCAGGATAACAGTTTGTGAAGAAGGCAAAGTAATACCCTTCTACTTATTCCAAATTCCTTGTAAGCCTATCGAAAGCCTCTCGTCTTTCTGAAGTTCCATATTTTTCCCTTTAAAAGGAAATTGTCTTTGTTTGAATTTGATATTCCGTATTCATTCATCATATTCAGTCTTGGCACAATTTCATCCTTATTTCCATTATTGGTTAAAATCATCTAATACTAAGTACTTGAATTAAAGGATTTTTATGCTTCAATTAGTTTTCTGAACAGATCTTAACCTATAAACTTCAGCTGAACATTAACAATTTTGAGAAACAGTCTAGCATAATCAGCAATAATATAATACCATCCTGCCTAGTCTAAACTTTTGTAATTATCAATTACTTCACTATAATATTCCCATTATAAACAGATATGTTGATATGAAATGAGATGAGAAAGTGGATAGGCAGTGCCAATTAAAATAAAACATCTTTCAACATAAACACAAGCGATTCCATCGAAGCAACATTCAAAGTCCATTGTTTCAAAAATTCCACGTTTCTTGCCATAATTATCAGACAAGTCATTCCTTTGTGATCCGTGAGCCACATGCGAAGCCGAAACTTCGCAAATTTGCACAGACGCGGCAAAAACATTGTCGGTTCCCAGAATGCCTATTGTTGGAACGTCATTACAACGCGCAATTTTGTCAGATCTCACATCCCCTTTATGTAAGCCATGGTTATTACAAAACAACACTCCACATTTTAAACCCAACTCTATTTCCACGCTACACGCTTGCATTTCCCTTGTATCAAAGTATAATGCAGGGATCAATGGGATACCCCAGTTATTTCGCTCCGGGTGTCTCGGCTCCAATTTCAAATACGACAGCGCTGTATCGCTTGTAGTGCCTACTGCATACTAAACGCCTCGTTTCGACGTGGCGCTTTATGCTAGTCGATCGTTTCAATAGAAAGGTGTCTGGGATTTTCAGTTTCATTGTCAAGAGAACCTTTTCCTCGGCCTCGCATATTGAAATCGTCTACTATTAGGTATTTACAATGGCAGCCTTTGTTCTTTTTTCTCCGGTTTTTGTTAAAGCACATATTTTTTGTGGAAACCTGTTTGGTGGAGGACCATAAAGAATTTATTTATGACGGTAAAGGCGTGCCATTATGTTATGATTAGTTGGTCTCGGTAGATAATTACGGTTGATGAGATATTTTTTGATCTTTGCTTTTCAAGTTTTTGTTGCTTTTATCTTTTTTATCTTCTTTAGCTGTTGTTATGCAATTTGACTGGTATTGTTTTAGCTCTATAATCTCATTACCATTATTAGTATTATACATGTCTTCGTCGTTTATAATAAATAGGTAAGCGCCACTAAGGAGTAATACCATTGGTTAAAGTGCTTGCTAAATAATAAACTGTGAATATCTTTTCTATTTGTCAAAAACAAGAAACCACATACATCAACCACATATCTTTTGCATTTTTGCAAAGAGAGGAAAGCCTCTACTACAATAAACATGGCTATTTCTTCGGTCTCTCAGTAGGCTAATGCATAATGATGTTTTTAAATAAATCGTAAGTATTTATCACAACAACTAAACCGCTTTTAAGAGCCAACCAAGCACTCTGAATCTCCATTTTAATAAAACGACAAGTCGTTAAATTCTTAATGCATTCCTTCCACACGAAACATTCGAACATCAATACTCGGCGCAAGATTACTCCAATTTTATTTTTATTGCGTGCTTCGAAAAGCAGTCGTTACGAATTTTCTAAGCGATTAATTCGTGGGCGCTCGGCCAACTTCGGGACCGTTCGATAACGATCTCAACCTGCCCACGCGCACATTTGATACCCTCCTAACTAACGTTTCTGAGGCATATGTATTAAAATGTGTTCAAGGATTCAAATGAAGCAGGTTTTTGTACGAGGACATTTGAATGTTCAACGGATTGAACTGCTTATCGGATTGTATTATAGGTTGTTAAATTCGTTGAAATTAATTTCTGGCTTCCGCTTACACAGCCGTTGACTTATCTTCTTCTTTAGGCATACATATTTAATTACCTACATTTCTAAACAGGGTTTTAAGTGAAGGTCTTTTTGTAAACGCCCAAATTGTAAAACTGAAGAGAAGTATCGGACTATAAAAATTATTACCCGTTGTTCTCCATAGGAAATTAATAACACGATGGCTCGACCACCTAACTTCACTAAAGGACTGAAAAATTAACATATTTTATAGCAGACTGCTGTGATAGCGTCAGGCGGGCTGTTAGCCGATTCGAATAGAAATGTACTTGTACGGGATAAATATTGATTAATTTCAAGATGATAGAAAAAACATAGTTCTGGGTACGATGCGATACGATATCTATGAGCTCTCTCAATAGAATGTTTGAACTATTAGATACTGATCACCAATGGTCCCATAAAATGCTCGCATATGCATCTAAGTATATATAGAGGACTGTGCGCGAAATTTCTCTGGATGAAAAGTCGATTCATTAATATCGAAGACCCATACGTAGGCACGAATAATGGTCCGGTCCAACCAGGGTATTACGCCGTGGTAACGGTTCGCTCGTTTAAACCACCAATGCACTTGTTGTGCAACAACCACAACGCATGATGGCGGCGCTGATTGCTTTTACTATTGTGAAATAAGTATTGTGAAATAAGTAGCTCTGGTTTCCGTCCGACCGCGTCATCCATTTGCCATGTAAAATCTTGCTGTAGGCAAATATATATCAGGGTAAATATGTCTTATTTTCTATGCTTACCTTACCTACCTAGCCAAAATCTATCTAAAACAGAGGCAGTAAAAATTATCTATGTCTTCATAACTCCTATTGATATCGACTCATATCTGATATGAACTGATCTTCTTATTCCCGTTAACATGCTGTGTCAAAAACTCCCTTCCTAAATCAAAAATCTAATCAGGGAACTGAACAATACTCTAGGTATCTGTTCTAAGAAAATCAGTCTATCGAACACGCGGCCCATGCATCAAACGTGACAGTTTTAAAAATAAAACCGCACTATCTAGCGGCCGTACACCGGCGCGTCGACGCAAGCTGTATCTATTTATCGCGCCATATCTCCCTACAACAATACAGACAAAATAAATAAATGTGCTCGGGCCCGGATCCGGCGACCCTTCGCCACGCACGTAATCCATTCCAAAATGTCCGTTTATTTTTCTATGTGAGCCGCGCTCGGTAAAAAACAACGCGCTCGGATCGACCGAGTACCCGTGCGACAGGGACAGCAACACTCGCAGCCCGAACATCAGCGGGCGGGGCACCGCGCCGCGCGCTCCCATTGGCTCGCCCCGCGCAGCGCCCGCCGCCCGAGATCAACAACCAATCCGACTCCATCTTGTTTCTCACGTCCCGCGCCCCGCGAGGCCCAAAATACCGACCTTTCACGAATGCCAACCCGATTCGATACGACCGAAAATGCCTTAGTTACTTCACGCGCGCACTGTTGACTGGTCGCTTTCGCTCGTTTCTAGCGAAAATAATAACAAACCGCTGTCGGTGTTCTGAACTGGCGGTCGCGCTGTACTTGGAAAGTGTATTGGTGCAAGTCGTGGACATCCATCTGCTGATTGATTCAGGTACTAATTATGATTTTATACACAGTTAAGCCCTAACACGTAATAATAAGGGTGGTGTAATTAGTTTTTCGATATCTGTCAAGAATCGTGAGATAAACGAGTGTTTTTGTACCGGATGATCGAACGTAAAAGCGGTGTCCTCGTAATCAACGTAGGCCGTTCGGAGCGGCAACGTCGCGCGTAAATAATAGGGTAGGCGCTCGGTCTTTCTCTCGCAGCTGGCGCACAGCGGCAACGTCGCGCTCGCCGGCTTATTGTGCCTCCACCGCGTGCCGCGCGCCGCCACCGACTCGAGCGAGACGCATTCACCACGCTCGCTCTGCCGACGCAATATACCTACAATAACGACACGACACCGCGCTCAATCACGATATTACTTTGCATTTCCAATTAAATATTAACTTAGGCTTCATTCCAGACTTTCTCATTCTATGCTACTTAGTGACTATTGTTTACTGCTTATATACTGAGGTATATAATATGTTATGTACTTTTTTATGTACTACATAGATTTGTATTTCAGATACCTAAACACCTAAAATTACAAATATACTAGATCTGAGATTACGAGACTCATTATAATACTAATTTGCCGGCTGATAATAAGTTATAGCGCTGAAAACACAAAACTGATGAAAATAAAACTTGTTTACAGAATATCGAGCGGGTGTTGGCGGACTCGTGGCTCGCTCTGTCGGCGAGAAGCGTACAACGAGCGGGCGGGACGCGCGGGGCAGGGGCATCCTCCCCCTACTTCAGTTTCGACAGTGACGTTGTGAGGAGAGCACGTATCGCTGCGCGCCGCAAAAAGGATCGTTCGCGCGGCAACTTTGAACAGTGACAGTGTGAAGAAGTGTGTTGTGACAGAGAATGTGTATCGGATTGCAGTGCACTACCAAACGGATGCAGTGATTTGGATCGCAATACTTGGATTGCAGTGATTTTGGATTTGAATTCCGCTTTTCAATTATCTACCAAACTGGGGATGCACAAGATGGAGCTGGGAGACAGCGTGTACGCCGCTGAGCGTATCATAAGGAAGAGAATTAGAAAGGTGAGCTTTATTTCTTTACAAAACATTGCCGTAACAGATTGTAACCTTGCGAAACATGCATGCGAGATCACATATCAGCGTCGGTTCGATTGGTGACTTTATTTGTAAACTGCTTGTTTCGCAACACGCGAACGCTTGATTGTTTTGCTTGCACCGAATTTCAAAACATGCTTTAATAACGCTTTATATAAAATGCATCGCTGCGCATGATTGTAGTTTACATTTTGTTTATTAATCCCAGTATTGTGATGTGACGGCAGCTGTTCAGAAATTATCGCAAGGGTTTTGTGTTCCTTTTCACGGGTGTTTTTCTATTCTTATTATTATCAAGAGTCCCCTTACATAATTCTCTGTACGAAGATTGGGGGCCTCAGTGAGAAACTGAATACTTCTTTATAAACGGTGCCCTTCTCGAGATTACATTAAGTTTTTGACAGTAAACAAGTTTGGACGAGACGTGTGAGGGGTAACCTTGCGATATTGTAATATGCCTTTTTTCATTATCTTTTTGGAGCCGTTCCCCGTTACTAACCTGATCCTGATATTGATAACAATAAATTCTGCTTTTTGGTTTTGGTTTTTTATTTGTAACTGCATGTTGGGTCACATGGGGATTCATTGTCAGTTGTCGATTGTGTAACGGGTCTTTTGATGCAGGAAATGTGTTGATTATAGATAGAACTTGCCATTCTTATCTACTATTAACTCGTGGTTTCTATCGAGAACACAATTGGTCCAATCACTCAGTCACTAAATAGTATTAAAAACATCTATAGAATCGGCTCACTGAAATGAATCCCACTATTGTCTGTGAGTAAAACAACAGCGTTGTCATCGAAGGTAAGACTGTTGGAGTCGAAGGTGTTCATAAGGTAAGTGCAGTCGATCAAGTGGAAAGGTTTGCCATTACGAAACCGTAGCACTGGAGAGTAAGCACAGTTACACAACATTGTTGATACAGGACATAGTTCCGACATTTCTCACTCCTGTCGCCCGATGTCAAACATAAACGTATCTTGCCTGGGAGCAGGTTTCTTTTTAAATTTGTCTCGGCTTTACATCGATAGCTTTGAAGTCTTTAAGGAAAACAATATTTTGTCTCTCTAGTATATATTGCTAATTCTTACACTTTTGTGTTCGTAAACAGGGAACTTTTGATATGTTTTTTGAATGAAGACCCTTATGAGTTCCGTAGTTCTTTCGTGTTTATGCCTTCTCAACTTTCTTTAGGATATATGATTCTTAGAATTATCTGTTTTCTGAACTCAATATTTCGTGATCTCGTGTTCTGTTTGACTTACCTATATATTCATATTTAGTTATGAATAATGAGATCAATAAAAGCCGTAGTAGATTATTTGATAAGGTTTCTTTGACGCGTGAAAAATGGCAAACCTTCCATATTGAGAATTAACTATTTAGTCGTGTTTGTACCAAAAGACCATTATTTTTACATTAATTACTTTTCTTTTTTTAATAAATGTACTAGGTAACTTATCGTGTTTAGAGTGTTACAATTTGGTCTTTCAGTACATCCATTTGTGGGCCCTTATGCCAAAATATGTCTTCGGTGTCCTTTGCGTACATCTGGTGTTGCATCTGATTCTGGTCATTAAAATAAGACATTAGTTTTTAGGACATGTTTGAAGATATATTTTAGTTTGGGTTACCATTATTATAATCATAGGTAGGCAATTGGTTCTTAATAAAGAACTAAAAATTGGAAGCAAAATCATGACACAAGCTAACTAGGTATTTTCATGACTATAACTCTCTTACAGCTAATAAAATGTTTCAGTTATAAAACAAAAGGATATAATTACAATTATTTTCTATTGTAATGAAGGACAACTGACTGATATTATACGAGACTGAAACCCTTAGACTAATAAAGGATAACTACTAACGAGTAAGTCCTAAAAGAGCCAAAGTGAAAGACTTAACTTTTTTAAACATTGCAAATCAACAGGGGCGTAGCTAGCGCCATATCTGCTGTATCAATTATACGGGGCCCCCGGACTACAGGGGTCCCCAACGTGCCTAAGCAAAAATTAATAAAAACTTCCCAATTTTTATTCTATTTCAGTAATCGCAAAAGTCAAAATAAACGAGGCACGCTACGCCACTGCAAATCAATGGTTAAGTCCTATGTCTGTCTACTCTATTTACTATTGCCCTCGGACAGCTTTAATTACTACTCCAAAATAAACAAACAACAACAAAATATCGACGTCTATTATTTTACGGAGGACAAAAACCTTTATTAGTTTTAGCAAAATTTCTGCAAAGTCTGTCCCGTAAATATTTTCTAAAATGTCTAGACTTTAAAGTGACTATGACCTCTGAGTTTGTCTCGATTTTCTTCTCAAAGACACGCCGACTCCATCTTTGTACCTAAATCCATTCGCAAAATATTAAATTGGACATTTCTATAAAACTTGTCTCTCGGAGAGGTAATCTCTTATTGAAATGTATTTGAAGTTCTAATCTAAAGACAGAATTCTTTTAGAAAACAAAATTGAATTTCGTAAGCATTTCTTGTTACTATTTTTCTGGGAAACCTTCAGTTTTATGTTGAAAAACTGGCCATTTTATTGGAATAACGATTCTTCTACACTAGGTAGACCATACTATTGTAGTGGAACGTTGTGGTCTTTAGTCAGTAAGAGTCTGACACTCTCTCGAAATCGTTGATATTCCCCTCTAAAAAAACCATGCTATTGATTTTAAATTATTCTAATAAAGTTTATTTGCCTTACTAGACCTATCTGACTTGACTTTTTCACGTTAATCTCTGACGTGCGCACACAACTAGTTTCGAGTCAGACCAGGAGTCCAAAATCATAAGCAGTGTGCCATAGCTATAGCCTGATTGAATATGTGTTAGGACCATTATAAATTCTTTAACAAACTTTGTTGGTCTGTGCAAAAGTTTATGACTGCAAATTCCGATGTGTCTACCTGTTTTGTTCAGGCTAAAGAGTTACTCATTATAGGTACTACCTAGAATAATACCACGGGGCAATTAGCACAAATAGGTACCCTCTGCTTTTCAGCCATTTTTTGTGTTAAGTGAAAGCGATGTCGAAAAAAGATTTGCAGGGGTAATAAGAATTGAAATAGAGCAATTTGAAGGTCCTTAAATTCGACGCAATATTTCTCTGTTATTCAAAAAAGGAACCATCTTTTCTATAACTCATTTGAATTCTCCTAAAACTACTGATAAATACAGGATTGAAACTAGAATGCCAAATGACCAATGAGTAGGTATCTGGCTAATCTTCGCTCATAAGTTAAGTGATTGCTTATGATACAGCCAAACTTCAAAAACCCTATCCATGGTATACCTACTACGACTAAAGACAATTTACTTTCCCAGCATTTATTACTTTATACTGGACAGTCAAATAACGAGGCTTACCAAGGACACTATCAATTTCATGTACTCCCGCTACAAGGACTAAAAGTTCGCACCAAACTAACTCTTCAATTCTATTAACGTCTACACTGCATCTCCGAAAATAGCACGTTTGATCCTAAATTAGCTCTCTTCGCCATTTGTAAAACATTTATAATACCTAAGTTCTTAGTTCATAAACACACGAAATGCAACACGTAGCTAAATATCACGTGCAACTTATTGAAAGAAACAATCAATTACACGAACGGCCACAATTTCACTCCAATCCATTATTTTGATAGCTCTCATGCCGCCAAAAGTTTCCAACGCCCGCTTACTAGCGCCCGTGGCAATTTTAGGAAACTACTTAATATCAAAACAAATTGAATTTCACATGAAAATTGCCTCTACATCGAAGGTTATAGAGCTCAATTTCATTTACAACACACTCGTCTTGTTATCTGCCAGCGTGTTCTAATATAAACGAAACTTCTTGAAACAAGCCATTTTGTGTTTTACCATTCGAGCGTAAAGCGTAAATTCGGTTAACCAACAAGCCGCAATATAGAAACTCCTACAGAGCTCTGTAGCCCTGGTATCTTGAAGCAAACGCGCCAGTATTCGGCTTCGACCGAGCGACCGTCGAGGTGCGCATGCTCCCCGCCGTTTCGTTCAGCCAATCAGCGTCGAGTAATATTCCGGCCGACAAAAGTACCGTAGTGTGTTGCGGCGATACAAATTAAACTTAAGTTACTTCTCAATAAGTATACTTTTTTCTGCTTTTTTCTTTTAATTTTGATCATACAGACTTTAAACTTAATAAATATCAGAAGACACTTGAATGTGTTACTAGCGCCACAATGACTTCTGATCTTACCCTGCAATCTGTTAGCCAACTGTTGTACCACATAGTTCCAAGGCTATTTGTTAGATGGCGCTATTTTGCAATTATTGAAAATAATTTAAAAGGTGCATTATTTTTTCTAAATTTGTTGGGATTTTTGAGATAGCCATATTCTTAGATTAAGAAAATATTTTGAAGTGAATACGAAGATTCAGTTTGATTCAGCGCCAGAAGAGCTTCTAAATGATACAACGCCCGGGAAGTACGGGAAACATAATTTGAGTTTGGTACCCATTAGTTCCCTTGTCATTTAAAGGTATTAACGGCCTTTTCCGAAAACGTATAAAAAACAAGAAGACGCAAAAAAATAAGCCGTTACAGGGTCACGACATGGTGCGGATAATAATTTAAGACTCGTCCGGAGTGTGCACTCGGAAGCAACACAAAGCGACCAAATTTTCTATAAATAATCGCTTCACAAAGCTTCACCGTAATTTTATCCATCCCTGTATTGGAATGAAATAAAAAACTGACAAGGGAACAGGGCGATCTGTGGAGACAACCTGTTTATTCATTGATTAAAGTTTAACCTTAATGTTCAACTTTATGAATTATGAGTATGTTCAAATTGCTATGCAGTAGGTAAGTTCGTGTTCTGGCTCGTTAGAAAGTATTCCTAACTACCTCTAACTTCTCTCGATCATAAAGTTTCCGATTGGCGCTAGCAAGTTTGGAATAGATAGATAAACTTGGTGT